ACCCATGTGGTCTCCTTTTGGTTGTTGAACAAAAACGAGTCTTCTGAACCAGACTTGGTGTAGGAAGGCCAGAGGTTTCAACACTTATCCAATCGGGCTCAAATTTGGATATGTTATAGTAGACACCCATTGGAACAACTTCTATGAAGAAAGTATTCCCATCGGAGCAGTCGAAGTGTACGTTTTGGCCACTGCAAGTTGGCTGCCGAAACAGGGACTGGAATTGACTTCATTTCATTTCATTTCTTTCTTTTGCTTCACATGCATGCCCATGCTTCTCTTTAGTAGCTCAAAAGCTGATCTCCAGCTCCAAAGTGATCTGCCAATTCAATTCCCATGTTCAAAGGCTGAAGCAAAATGCCTCTCATCATTCCTCATTCTTCATCTCTCTCCTTTCTCTTTGCTTCACATGCATGCACATGCTTTCTCTATAATAGCTCCAGCATGTACCAACTTGCTCCTTTAGATTTTCATAGCTGGAATGCCTCCCAACTTCACTCATTATGTTGGGTGCAAAGTCAGTTATAGCTAGGGTGAGGCACATGGCTAAAAGGAGGAGACAAGGCTCCAAGCTGGCAGCTGCAAATCCTGCTGAGCAAGGTTGAGTGTTGGGCGGGCTGAGCACTCCACAAATGTCCAATTGGGCTGAAATTTGGATATGTTGTACTAGACACCCATTGGAACAAGTTTCATGAAGATCTTCACCTCATCCAAGCCCCATAGCATGCTGATCCAAGGCCAAGAAGCTGACCTACGAAATTGGGCTGGAAAGGAGTTGTAGCCAAAATGTGTTTGTCTTTAAGCCCTTCTTCCATTCACCCAAATCAAGCCTTAACATGCATGGATTGCATCATTTCCTATCCAAAGTCATCATTGTTACCTAAATGTCAATTAACTGAAAGATAAACACAAAAAGGATTAAAAGCACAAGTTTAACTCAAAAACATAACCAAATCATAAGCTAGAAGGGTACAAAATGATATACAATTATGAACCGATCAAGGGTCGGTGGAAATCTTGCACCTAGTGCGTGAGTAAAATAAAATAAAAAGAAGCCGAAACATAAAATAAACTTTTCTTATAAAAATAGCTCCCAAAATCTTACAACTTTACATGAAATAAATAAAGCTCTATCACTCTCATCTAATTCAGCCTCAACTGGTTTAGTCATTGTCTTGCCCACTAATTCATCTGAAAAATTAAACAGGGTGAGAGGTGAGCAACCACCGCTCAGTGAGTAGATTATGTAATATGCAGTCAAACAATGCCGTTTTACACACCCTAGAAAATACCATGAAAAGATACACCAATCCATATCATATCACATCATCCCTTCATATCTCGGTTATCCTTCATAGCATGTAACCAACCACGTGACCCCTATTGGCCTCATTGCCCTATGTTCCCGTGTGGTACATCTATCCCTCGGACACTCTAACATTGAAGTTCTCATGTTCCGTGAATAATACATACTTCATATTCCAATCAATATATATATAGTGTGAAAGATTGCACCAAATTAGACATGCTTGACTTGAAATGGAGAGATATTTGTAAATAGAATAAATCCACGATAATTCATGATTTTCATATTTTAGCACAAAATAAGAACTTTTAGAACACATTACATAAACCACTCACCTCGCTAATGAGAACCCTTTAAATAAATTGGCAAGACAACCCATCTACCTATCTCCTCCAATAATTTCCTCACTATTTTCTCTCCCTCTACGTTTTTCTCTCTTTGCATGAACTTTCATGCAAGGTTAAGTGATTTCAAAAACAAAGGAAATGTCCTATTTATATAGGGAAATAAGTCGGCAACAAAACACTTCCTATTGGATGGGTTAATGGCGGTTGATATAAACTTACTTTCCAAGTCATAGTTATTAATGTAGTTGCAAATAAGGAAGAATGTCTTTGTGACTCTTCCAACTCCTCCAATCCTATTCTTTTCTTTTTGGTGAGTTGGCTAATTCCTTGCTACTTAATACGGTTTTCACTTTGACACGTATAAGGTCTATGAATTGACAAAACTACACTAACAAGGACTATTAATACATACAGTCCCGATCTCTTGGACTACATGAGTCCAAGAGATTTGTGGTCACTCACCGTTAGATGTAAATTCAACGGTTCACTCACTCTTGCACTCCTTTTAAGAAACTTTTTTGAACCATTGGATTAATATCCAACGGTGG